AAACGAATTCGTTTATCGCTTACCGTTTTTCGTTATCGTGTATGAAAAACGAAAAAGGAAATAACTACTAGTTTTCGTTTTTCGTGTTTCGTTTTCAAGTAAGAAAAACGAAAAGACGGTATATACCACTGGTGACTGATCTCTATAATATATATCATAGAGATATATTATACATCATAGATTATATTATAGAGATCAGTGGTATATACACGGACCGGACTACACGTCATTGCACGGTGATTTCGCATGAGTAGTCTATCTTGTGCCTGCACTATACGATCTTTGGTATTACTAGTATTAGGTCATTATGGTGAATAAAAATCTCATCATCTGAGCCCAGACGACCGGGAGTCTATAGCCGAACATTTGTTAGGCCTAGCTATTAGAAGAAGGTTTTTAGTAATTGTAACACACTCTTGTTGTAACAATAACACACTATTCACTAAATAACACAATAACTTAAAAATAAACTAAAGCAGTAAATATAACTTATGTCTCATATAAGCATCGGTAGGTGGCGCTTTGATACAACACGAAAAATAACAGTGAATCAGTGATCCTAATCGCAAACATCATACTCAAAGTCCAAATCCTTGGTAGCGATGCCAATATTACCAAGGATTTGGATTATTGGCAATATCTCATAGGTTTCAGCACCCGAAATGGATATGAAGGTTAATCCCGATCTCCAAAAGGAGAGAGATTCAAGAACGTTTGACGTAGATGAGTTGTCCAATGTCATATATGAAAATGGAGAGCGCAGGAACCGTCGAAAAGAAATAGGTAGGTAGGCCATATGAGAAAAACATTTATTTAAAAACAAGGCTCAAATCCACTTTAGGCACCTTAGGTATCACGAAGTGATGCACAGATTTCTGTGTATCATCAACTGATGCACAGATTTCTGTGTATCATCAACTGATGCACAGACTTTCCGTATATCAAGGAATGATGCAAAACCCTAACCCTAACCCTAAGTCATAAAGTCTTAGGCGTAGGTATCACGAAGTATGTTAGGGTTAGGGTTAGGGTTTTTGCATCATTCCTTGACGTGATGCGGCCATGATGCCGAGGCTCGCCGAGGATTGACACTTTGTGTCTTCCAATCACAGCCTACGCCGCACCTTCCTATAATATAATATAGGTGGGGACCCATGACAGTACCAAATTGCCGATCTCAGGAACTAGGGCATTCTGCTAGGCTGGAACGGTTTCCTACGATAGAGTTTGGCACAAAAACGAAAATAGCACACCGTTTAGTGCACTGCACTACGTCCTTGTGTTGCATTTTCGCATCTCCGTAATCGGAATAAGCCCCGCCTTCGTTGATGGGCATGAATGGGGCGTCAACGACGTCACCCGTTACTGCGTGTAGGTGTTTCGCGAGACTGTTTGCTTTTCGTAAATAATGAAAGGCCCAGCCGATGCATTTCGCACCGAAGTGGAACCCGCTTTTTTACCCGCTTTCGGAAGTGAACGAGTGCGTCATTCATTGAACATTTAAGTTTTTTTTTAATTAAATAATTTCGAAAATTCCTAACCGCGCTACTCGATTGTTTTAGCCAATGAACGTAGCTGTGTTTGTTACGTCTTGCCCGCGCGCTTTATGCTTGGCTTAGCAGGCCTCGAAATGGATATCGGAGGCAGGCACCTCGCAACCCGCGTGTTTGTTTACATATATTATAGATTTGAGACGTACAGTGTTCGGCAGTTCTGCGATAATAACCTCGTAATTTCTCACATTTCTTAAGGTGCATGGAACATTTTACCAATTTAGTGGTGTCAGTTAGTCACGGATATGTCACAGTAAGTAGGCCTACTAACCGTATAACGGTATATGTTTCACATACGTTCACCTATTTTGCACACAGGCGGTCGATCATTGTGCCAAATTGTGTGAAGATGTATTTTTATTGAGACGTTCCAAGCCACCTGTGGTACAAGGATAGAGAGCATGGCGAGATTGAGAACTATGTAGCGTAACACATCGGCTTTGCTCTCACAACCATGCTCTATCCTTGAGCCCTTTCATCAGTCTTGTACGTCAATGCACGTGCGCCAAGAGCCATAAACTCAACACAATTTCATCTCTGTTATTGTTTACGCCTGAATGCGTGATTGATCAGGGAGGGGGTGCAGGTAAGAGGGAGACATTTTCTTTGGGGTTCCGAAAAACACAATTCCACTTGACAATTTCATGGGCCATTTCAATTGGAAGCTCTGCATAATGGACCCCCAACAAGCCCTTTGACTAACTAGTCAAGAAATTCAAAGGTCTGTATATTGCTCTTATTTAGCCGCCGATAGTTCTTATTTAGAACAAAGTCTTCATTGTTATCTTCTAAAACTACAGACCATCCACTGACCGCTGTGGAGACATGCACCGGGCCTCGAATTTGGCGCACGTCTCCACTGTGGACAGTGCCTCATACCTGAACATCCCCGCGGTCGCGTGCGCATATCCCGCGGAACTGCGCGTCTCATCCGCGCGCAGCGCTCAGGATCCACAGCAAAGCTGTGCCACGCAATCTTGTATCATGTCTCTCTGGATATACGGAAAGTCTGTGCATCAGTTGATGATACACAGAAATCTGTGCATCACTTCGTGATACCTAAGGTGCCTAAAGTGGATTTGCACCAAAAACAATATAACCAGGGTTTCTTCTGGGGAAAATTAGACAATGAAGGTAATGGCCAGTTTGGGGAAAAAATGTGCATAATGGATTCAAGGCGTGCAGTAGGCACGAATGTGGATTCTGCAGGCAGACGCGGGGGCAGAGAGGTAGATGGGGTTATGGCCGGGGTCTCCCCCAGCAAAATTTGAAAAATTTGAATGTCTTAAGACTGCATTTGAGGCACCCCGAAAATAAAACTTCGCCTTTTAGTTTAAATCTTACTCTGTTAGCAGACCTACCAAGTCTCACGCATTTCATAATTGAGAGACTCACGCACCTGGACCGATTCTCCCGCACTCCCGCATGCCCTACGCATTCTTACGCATTCACGCAAAATGAAAAACGAAACAAAGCAGCCCGCGACACCCCTGTTACCCACGTCTGTGGCTGTGTACATCGTGTCTGCGTACGTGCTTGCTGGCTGGGGCGGCATTGATTGAAGTACGGGGGTGCGGGATGAATGCACTGATTGTTAAAGGTGCGTGGGCATGCTCATTGCCAGGGGCGTAGCTAGGGTGAAATGGATGTGTACGGACACAGGCGGGGAGTCTGGGGGACCTCCCACAGAACATTTTGAAAATGTAGATCGCAAGAGATGGTATTTGAGGCACTTTTGAGTAAATATACAGCCTTCATTCTGACTACGACAATTATCTTTTTAGTAGAACTGTTCTCTTCATGAGCAAAAAGATGTGATCACTAAAGATCACTATAACTAATCATGTAATTTTCGTTTTATTATCAAGACATGTTGAACTATAACGCATACAGTATTCTTAAACTCTCTCTTTCTCTCTCTCCCTCTCTGTGTGCGTGCGTGCGTGCGAGCAAGCGAGCGTATGCTTGTGCGGGTGCGTGTGCGCGCATGTGTGTGCTCAAACACACATCACTCATTGCACATCACATCACATCACGGCATTGTTTAAGTCACGTTCATTATTCAATGTGTAGGGGTGACCACCGCTGAGATGAGGGCAACAGCAAAACTCTTTCTTGGAATTGTGAAAAAGCTGCAAAAGGGTTGTAACTGTTGAGTTTTGATATTCAGTGCTGCCATCTACTGTAGGTTGTAATACCTAATCTTACTGAAGAGTAAGTCTTCTTGGCATGGCTCTCTCCGTCGACGTTACAGTAGTGTGCAATGTCGGGATATGGTGGAGCATGCTGGCTTGTGGACACTGCAGAGCCCGATGGTTGACAGTCAGTCGAAATGTGTTGATCCTCTCTGACATTGAAGAAATCTGTTATACGATTACGAGCAGCTGCTTTACCTCTGCCCGCCATCTTCATGAAAGTTTGGACGCCGCGCGGCGAAATCGGAATGTACGTTTCAATCGATGACGTAACTGATACAGCGGCGCGCCGCGTGGGTGTTATTTGTTTATAAATAATTTAGTCTGACTGACTGACTCTCTCTCTCTCCCTCTCTCTCTCTCTCTCTCTCTCTCTCTCTCTCTCTCTCTCGCCCTCTCTCTCTCTGTCTCTCTCTCTCTCTCT